CTCGTGTGTTTGTCAGAGCCGTGTGGCGTTAACCGTCGCAGTGTTTGCGCAGGGCTCCTATTGAAGGGCTTCTCTGTGTCGTGCAGAATGAAAGGCTCTGGCCTCTGGGTCAACAAACAGCCGCAAGTTTGAGTCTGGTGTGATGAGTGGACTAATGGACTGCATGAAGAGCTGAAGCTGTGATGACAGCAGAGCGTCAGTAAATGTCCCGTGTTGTCGTTGGCAGGGCAGTGGTTAATGCTGAGGGCAGGGTGCCGCTGCTGTCGGGACGCTCCACATCTGTTTGTGCCGTTTGTGAAGCGGTTATGTAAAACACACCCGGAGCTCTTGTGTCTTCAGTCGTGCTACAGACAGATAACACCAGCCGGCTCTCTCCCACTGGGGAACACACACTCCTCAGGGAAACACGAGTCCTGTCTCTGTATTGATAATTGTCAGGGATGTGTATAACATCATTTCATATATCTTAATTGAATATCTCCCCGGTAAACAGTGCACTGATGGAATAAACATACATGCCAGATATTGAAGGAAGCAGATGAGGTGTTGGAGACACACACTGATGAACTGCAGTGTTTACTGTAGTGATCTCGAGTCCTGCTTCAGCATTAACACACATGCTGTCATCTGATTACTGCATTCACTGAACAGTCAGAACAATACAGGCGGTCAGGAACAGTCCAGCTCATCAACAGTGTGTGTGTGCGTGCACGTGTGTGTGTGTGTGTGTGCATGCATGCTTGCTTGCGTGTGTGTGTGTGTGTGTGTGTGTGTGTGTGTGTGTGTGTGTGTGTGTGTGTGTGTGTGTGTGTGGCAGATTCTGTCCTTTAGTCTCTCGTGTCTCGGTGTGTGTGTGTGTGTAGTGTGAGTCCTGCACCGGTGCTGACGGATCCGCAGTTTGACACACACAGGAGCTCATTATGGGCTGTTTGTCTCTGGACGCTGCGTCTGGCAGGAGTCGTCGTGTGTAAAGTGACTCGGGCAGCGTTTCTGCATCTCATTTGTTCACAGGCCTTCACAAGGTCAGGCTAACGCTGCCTTTATCAATCAGGAGTGTTTCTGTGCAGTGTGTGGGGAAATCCCCGTCCCCGACTCAATTAAAGAAGAGTAAAAGTGACGAGGGTAATCCACTGAACACAAACCAGGCCGTAATGTGAGCGAGTGTTTAGGGAGACGCGTCTGTGCAGCTGTTCTCCAACACTAAAGACTCTCCACACTGCTCCTGACCCACGCTGAAGCACTGACATCCCCTCCATGCAGTCAATGACCTGACTCCCTCCAGCCTGCAGTGAAAGCCATGAGGTGTTGAGCTGTTGTGTTGTGTTGTTGTGTTGTTTTCTGTTGTGTTGTGTTGTGTTGTGTTGTGTTGTGTTGTGTTGTGTTCTGTTGTGTTGTGTGTGTTGTGTTGTGTTGTGTTGTGTGTGTTGATCCAGCAGGAGAGTGAGCGTGAGCTCTAGCGAGTGCTCGTCTTGAATAGTCTTGATGATCGTTGTCTCCTGCCTCTCTCCTCTTCTGCTCGTTGCTGTAATGACCTTCTCCTTGAGTCTGCGTCTGATTGCCTGTGCGCACGCTGGCGGGAGAATGCCGTTCTTCATTGTGTGAATTAATTCTCAGGCCGAGCGGCTGAATGGCAGTTTGATGAGGCGGTGGGCAGTGTGTGGTCTTTGGGGTTTTGAACAGGGCAGAGTGCTGTTTGGGATAAATAATGGCGCTCAGAGTGAGGCTTTTAAAGCACATCAACACAGCGCCGGTGACGAGAAGCCGCGCCACATCATGCTGAAGCATCAGCTGGGGAAATTAAGCTGGAGAACGCCTCTTATTCTGCTCTTAATGAGCTTGTGTCTCTCTCCCGTGTGTTCGCGTTGCTCACGGCCCTTTGGCTCCGACTGCTTTCATTTCTCTGGCTGCGTTTCTGCTTCATCTCCATCACCTGTTCACCTCAGAGCATCACCTGTGCCCATGGCAGACGCTGCTGTTTACCTGTCTGTGTCTCAGCGTTTACCCTGAATGTTGGTCCAGGAGGAGCCGGTCAGGCCCTGTGTGTAATAGTGTATATTGGCTGTGTTGAGTAAGGAGCAGTCATTTATAGACGGTAACTCTACAGGCAAGGTAAAGGTGGGCTAGCAGATGCTAAACATTAGAGAACACTGAAGTGAAGGTGCACTGCCCTGTATATGACAGTCCTGTCGGCTTCATGCTAGTAAACACTTTGTTGCCTGTGCTGTTGCTGAATATTTGGACATATTTACAGTCAGTAATGTCTGAACGTAATGTTAGACCTGGAGTCATACTGAAGCAGCTTTTCCTGAACCTCAGACACACATGTGCTGCTGTACGCCGCTATATTAGCAGGTGTTCAGTGTACATCATTACTGCGCTCACCCTGATGCAGATCAACATCCTGAAGCTTCAGCATCATGTAGATTAATGTCCGACATGACGTTTCTGCTGCTGAGACTGATGTACAGCCCGCCGAGCGCTCGCGTTCCTGTCAGATGAAGAGACTTGTTGGAGATGAGCAGCTCTGCTCCTGTAAATCTGCTGAGATTGGTCTGCGGCTCGGACAGCAGCGCACCGTAAATCAGCCGGACTGGAGGATTGGGTGAGCGAGGCAGGAACTGAGCAGCGGAGTGATGGAGGCGCCGGCGGAGATCTGCTGTCTGTCTGAGCGAGGCTGTGCTCAGATCAGCCGGAGACGGGGATCTGCAAACGCTGAGGTGGAAAAGTGCAGACGCTCTGCTTTACGGAGAGATGCTGCTGCTCTTGATCTGTCTGAGAGATGATCCTCTGAGACGCCAGATCTGCCGGTGAAGCTTCAGCTCTTCAGCGGGTTCATCTTTCTGCAGACGCTGAGATGAAGACTCTGTCTGCTTCCTCTAATCTTCATCCTCAGACGTGAAGCCTCAAAGCCGGAGATTTGTCCTGGGCGCTGCAGACGCTCGATGTTTTACAGGTCTGTCGGCTCCGCTGTCCTCATTACGCTGGTCAGAGCCGCCGTTTCTCGGAGCGCTCAGATCTCTAAATGCCTCTGGATTACGGGGAGTTTCTGCTGCTGCTGATATAGAAACGATTGTCCAGAACACAGAATGACCACCAGGAGGGTTTATACTGTAAAGCGTAGCCTAATCCTCCATGCTTGTGCAGATGTGTGGATGATATAGAGCAGGGGTTCCCAAACTTTTCAGCCCGCTACCCCCAAAAATGTCAATGCCAGTGACTCGTGACCCCCAATATTCTCTGAGGTGGTGGTTATAAATACAGAAACCTTGTATGCAATGACACGCACAAAACACCAATAGACCCAAGTCTATTCTTTGTTTTTTTTATGTATGTCAGTGCTGTAAATGGGCTAGAAAGTTCAACCTGGTGTTACAGAATCTGCTGCATCTGACAGTATTGCTGTGTCTTCAGTATAATGTAATTACCCGAGAAGTCGCAATCCAATAGAACTAGTAACTATAAGCTACTATAGTAACTATAAACGACTATTTTTTTCTCTTCAGTAGGTTATTGATAAAGTACAGTAAGTCTTAAGGTTTCATAAAAATTAATTGATTTTTAAAAATCACCAGGCGACCCCCCCCCCCCTCCTTCATTGTCCCGCGACCCCTTGGGGGGGTCCTGACCCCCACTTTGAGAACCTCTGATCTAGAGGAACAGGAATATTTCTGTTGTGTGCTGTTTTAGATACACACCGGGGACAGAAGTTAAGGTGTTGTGTATATTTGTGTTGTGTATAACCAACAGACGTGTGTATCTGACCTGCAGACGACCACAGCGGACACCAGAAACATGTGAAGAGCCGTGTGTGTCCAGCAGAGCTCACACTAATGATCAGCCAACGAACATCGCTCAGTCCTTATGCACAGACTGATTGTGTGTGTGTGTGTGTGTGTGTGTGTGTGTGTGTGTGTGTGTGTG